AAACGGTTTCCGATTTGTCTAATTTTTTGTAAGGATGATCTATGAATGAAGACCTAAAAAATAGATGGTTTGGATCATTGGGAAAAAAATTATAAGGTACCCTAAAGGGCATCCCTCAAATAAAATTATTTGAGGGATCCCTCAATAAAAGGGGACTGTATATATATATATATATATATATTAAGTATCAAAGAGAATTTGGAAGAACCAATTAATATCATTAACTCAACAAAGCATAGCCTAGAAGCATGCCTCCAAATCCACAATTTCCGAAGACCTTTTTTTTTAGAGAAAGCGATCAATTTGTATTCAAATAGAAGGAGCTTACATAGAACAAAGCATGTCAAAAGTGGTCTCGTTAAAACCTTCCCGGGGAAAACCCAAAGGGATAAAACCCCGGGGTAGGACAATTTCCGAAGACCTTAGGTCTTGGCTCAGAAGAATTTTTGTCATAATGACTTTTAGTGAAGCATGTGACACGGTAAATTAGGGTGGTGTTGTATATTATAAAACATACGGTTCATATAAGGTTCTTTTTCTTTTTCTTGTCTTTTTTTTGTTTCTGTTTTTTGTTCTCTGGCAGATTCCCATTACATCCAATCAATCAATCTTATAACTCTTTAAAAATAATGTAAGGAAAAAAAAATTTCGACAATGTGTTATAGTATTTTTACAAAATTAGTTAAACACCCAATTCTAGACATTAAACTATAATAATACCTAGACTATTTAAAACATATAAACACACCCAAAATAAACCCAAAAACCAACAGATGTCGATTTTTGGATTTATTTTCTATGTTAGATTACGGTTTTGACCTTTTGGTCTGAATTCTTTGAAACAGGCCCAAAATTCGCCAGCTAGGATAGGAATTTCTGAAAATTTATGTTGGTGACCTCATAACAGAAACCTGTTTGGCAGCCTTAGCAGATCGAATATTCCAAACGAGCTTCGTTCAGTTCTTCGAACGAAGCTCAGTATGATGTGGTTTCAGATCTTCTTTTTGGATTCTTCTGAGCTCAGTATGGTGTAGATTGGAGTTCTATTGCTTCAATTTTTTGGTTCTTTGTTGTTTGATTTGGTAATTTTTGGATTGATATTGCGCTGCAAGAGACTCGATTGGAGCTTGGTGTGATCTGTGATCTTCGATTTTGAGGTATTCGATTTTTTCTTGTGAATTCATATTCGTTTTTTGAGGATTCGATTATATTGTAGTCTGATTTTTGGTATTGTATGCTTCTGAAGCATTTTAAAAGTGGTTGACTTATGGTGGTTATTGTTGCTCTTCTCCCTAAATATGGTAATCCAAGAAAAGGTGACTGAAGACCCAACTTTGGTACTTGCAAGTTAGAATAGCACATGGAGCATGTCCTCATTTTTCCCCAGAAACCAAAAAGGAGTTATATGCCATTCACTTGGTCATGGCACCTATAACAAAAAGAAAAAGGAAAAAAAATTTTTGAGTCGACTATAATTCACTGTTAATACTCAGCATCTACTGTTATTGCTAGTAGTCATTTTTGTTTTGTTTGTTGTTTTATATAGATATGGATGATTCAAGAGTTGCAAAGTGCACCTATGGTGCTGGAACTTTAATGCTTATTTTGTCTTCAACTACTACTTTTGATTGGCTGTCCAACGAGTTGTGTAGTAGGTTCAAGCTAAAGTTAGGTCATTTTGAGTTGAGGTACTCTTTTACGGATTGCTCCAATTGTTTATTGGAATTGGATGATGATTTGAAAATCATGTTTATGGTATGTGGACTGACGAAGGATCAATTAATTCACATTGCTGTTAAGGATAAGGCTGTAGTGAATTATGTTCAAACTGTTAATACAAACATAATTGTTTCTCCTTTTTTGTTGGAGGCTGTTCCTAACAATTACAGTTTTGCACAAGATGAGGATACATGTAAATATTCAAGTCAAACTGGTAGTATTGTAGATTCAAGTGCAGCTTCTTCTTCTTGTTTGAATATAGATTTTGATGGTATTAGCAGTGAGTATGAAAATGAATATTTAGGCAAATATGGTAGTTGTGGAGGTCGTAAGTATTTGTCTACTGATTGGGAGGGTTATATTACTCATGAGGGTCAAAAGTTTGAGGGTAGAGTTTGTGAATTCCGTGATATGTTGGCTAAGTACTCGATTGAGATGGTTTTAAGATGAAATATTTGAAAAATGAGCCTTGTCATGTTACTGCTGTGTGTGCTAAGAAGGAATCAAATGGCTGTGAGTGGCATGTGCATGCTGTTAAGTCGAATGTAAATGGATTTTTTTATATTAAGAACTTAAATAATGCACACAGTTGCAGTGGTTTGATCCGTGAGAAGAGAAATAAGGCAATGGGGTCTCGTTTGGTGTCTTCAATTGTCAAAGATAAGGTTCGTAGCAATCCTTTGGTAAGGCCTATTGAGCTGATTACTGATTTGAAGGAGAATTATGGATTGGATATCCCTTATCATGTTGCGTGGTATGGGAAGGAGTCGGCTACTAAGGATTTGCATGGTGATGAGGAGTTGTCTTATGCTCACCTGCCTTGGTATGTGAATGTTTTGAAGGCCAGCAATGTCGGATCTCATTGTATGCTTGACTGTGGCGAGGATGGTTCTCGTTTCCAGCGGATCTTTATATGTTTTAAGGCCTACATTGATAGTTTTCGGTGGTGTAGGCCTATGCTGTTCATTGATGGTACTTTCGTCACAAACAAGTACAAGGGTACTCTTCTATGAGCTACTGCAAAGAATGGAAATAAAGGTATGTAATGTAAATACTGTAGTTGTTGACTTTCATTGAGTGGTATGAACAGTATAGTTATGCAAATTTAAATGTTGTAGTTGTTAACTTCCATTGAGTGGTATGAACAGTTTTTATACTGTTCATACCCTGCATCTGAGTATTTTTATGCATTGTAGTTTTACTCTGCTTCATGTGGTAACACTGTTATAGTTCAAACTAACTAATATAGTTCTCTGTTTCTTGTAGAAGTATTCCCTTTTGCCTTTGCGATTGTATCCGGTGAAACTGTGGACAATTGGAGATGGTTTCTGCAAAGGATATCTGAAGTCTTGGTGGATGAAGGTAGGCAACTTACATTCATCTCTAATAGGCATGGTGCTATTATCGATGTTGTTAGGACTGTTTTTCCTGCTTCTCCCCATGGTTTTTGTCTATATCATTTGAAAGAGAACTTGAAAAAGAAGTATCTGCATGTTGTTGGTTCCTCTTTCAAGAATCATATTTTATGGCTTTTTTGAAAGTTGTTGTATGCACCAACTGTTGAGGAATATCAAGATACGTTGAAAAAATTAAGAGATGATGGCGGTTCAAAAATAATTGATAAGTTTTTGGTTGATCTCCCTGTCCAAAATTTTGCTAATGCATTTTTTCCGGGAAAGAGGTATGGGGAGGTTAGTAATGCCTTGTCTGAGTCGTTTAATTCATGGGTTAAGGATGTGCATAGGCTTCCAATTTATGAGATGATTGACACTGTGAGAATCAAAATGATGGAGATGATTTCTAGGAGGAAGCTTGCATCTGAGAAATGGAGTAGTGTTATGTGTCCTGTTATTGAGGATGAGTTGAAGAATTTAGCTGCAAAGGGTCGTCATTGGAGGATATATCGCGCGAGTGAATCTATTTTTGAAGTTCATGCTGATTTGAGTGTTATGGTCAATTTGGACGACAGGTTTTGCTCCTGTTATCAGTGGCAATTGCTTGGGTTTCCGTGTCAACATGCGATTCAAGTTATCCAACATTCCGGGTTATGTTTGTACAACTTTGTGGATGAGTATTACAAGGCATACTTTTATAGGGCTACTTATGCAACTCCTATATTTCCCATACCTGATATTGAGAAGCCTCCTCCTGGAGATGTTCTTCTTCTACCTCCTCATACAAAAAAGCCTCCGAGACAACCTTCGACAAAGCGCTTCAAGTCAAGCAGTGAAACTAAAAGGCAGGTGAAGTGCAAGAGATGCGGTTCTTGTGATCGTCATAATAGGAGGACTTGCAAGGTTCCTATTTGATGTAAAGGTTCTGAGTATAAAGACTTGAATGAGAGTAGTTAGTTTTTAGGGAAATGGCCTCCAATGCCACCCATTTCATAATCTTAATTAAAAATACCACCCTTTCCCAAAATTTTTAAAACTATCACGTATAAATACATCTTTATTGTCGACTGATTGCACCCATATCACATTTTCAGAAATTTTGTTCTCTCCACCGACCACAGCTTCTTTTGCTTTGCAAAGTCGTAATCGATAATATTGTCTGCTCCACTGAGATCTTCGTCGCCGCCTACCACACATCCACCGGCCTGTTCATGCCATTGTTGAAATTGAAAGATAATTCTATGACATGGTATTAACAATTTATTTCTATCAAATAGCATTAACATTGTATTTGAGAGTGCGTTGTTATTTGTTATAGTTCACCTTTTTAGTTGTTTTAGTGTTATGGAGACCATTATTTCAGGTTACATACACTGTTAATTCACGTAAATAAACTGGTTTTTGAATAAGTACATAACTTGAATTTGAAAATCACTTTACTTCAATGTTCTAAACCTACACAAGTCCTAAGAAACTACAATATAAGCAAGAATTTTGGCAAAATATTTGATTACAACTTCATTCTTTTGCATTTCTCTCTTCTCTTTCTTTGATAGAAATCCAACTTCTTTCATTGCTCATAACTTTCATGAGGACTTCTTTTCTCATTTGCCAGACTTTTTCTTTGTTGAAATCTGATTTTATTTGTTGGTCTTTGGAAAGCTGCTTCATGAAGTGCATGACAAAGACGCCACAATCATTGCTGCATAATAGAGATACGCATGCAAGAGTTATTACAGTATTTTTTTAGTTGAATAGGATGAAAGTTTCACTGTTATTGCATAACTTACGAATTGTTTGCTTGTTGGAGACATTCTCTGTTCTCAGTCAGCTTGAAGTTAGTAGTATCATGACAAATCAGATGCTTCATTGTCTGAGCATATTCTGATGTAAGTTTGTTGCTGGCAAGTATTTTTGTTATCATTCTAGCTGAAGCTTCATTAAGCCCTCTCGGCTTCTTGGCATCAAAATTAGGAATTTGGTCAAGTTTTGTTTTCAGTTATACTGCAGTACATTCCTTAAGAAGACAAAGGAATATATTTGCTGTCTCAACCTGCATCATAGTCAAGTATGTGCTTAGTTTCCTTTAAATTTAGTGTCCTATGTATTAACAGTGTTAATCACCAGTCTTACTTACCAAAACAATTGCCTTCTTGTGATAATATTGGAGAATTTGTTCTGATGTCCCCCTGAATGAGTTAAAGTGTGTCCATTTTGCTGCACCGGTGTCAAAGACAAGCAGCGTATGGTGGTTCTCATCTGTAATTGGTATGAACACTCTATCAACTCTTCCAATATTTTCTAGGAGTGGCATATAGAAAGCATGATATGTCAGCTTATGTGAGGCACCTCGCAAAAATATCTGCAAAAGTCATGTGTTGGTGATTAGTGAGCATGTTGATGATATAAAATTGATGTATTAGATATGATCTTACATAGTTATTGGCCGACAAATATGCATTTTTCTGTTTCTGAGGGTTCTGCTTCGCATCATCATTAAGTGCCTCTCCATAAGCAGCGATGATTAGTGCAGAAATTGGACCATCTCCCATCAGCTTTTCAATGTTATGTTTGTACAATATTGTCCTATTGTGTAAGTAAAAAGCGTCCATGCGGCAATAATGTTGTTTAAAAATGATAATCTCATAACAGTTTAATAACAAGATAGTTCTATGACATAGTATTAACAGTGTAATTCTATGACAGTTCTACGGCATAGTATTAACAGTGTAATTTTGTGACAGATTGGCTTACTCATCAGAATCAGATGCAGATTTCCAGTAATTTTCCAACTTCTTCTTTGATATTTCATCCAGCCTGTTGTAGACCTCATACATGTGCAACTGAAGGTATGTATCTTTGTCCTCCTTTTTTTTGTTGGCTGCTTCATCTTCGCTTTGGCTTGCTCTTTTTCGGCCTTTCTTATGTGCTTCGGGGTATGTGTAATCTGGTTTCTTTGCAGGCTTTCTGTCTTTTCTGCCTTTGATTATTTTGATGCCAGACCGCAACTGCCGTGTTCCTACTTCCTTTGCTTGCATGATAACTAACTTTTCAGGAGTTTTTTCATAGGCGTTCTCATCTTCATCATTAGGAGATTCTTGCATCTCCAATTCACTTTCTTCTGCTATTCTCTCATCTTTTTTCTCCTTATCAGCTTGTTCTTTCATCGGAATTTCTCCTTGTTCACCTTATTTGATTTTTTTTCCCATCACATGTTGCAAAGAGGCAATAACAGTGTCTTTTTCTTTCATGCTCTCAATGCAGGACAACTTTTCCCCTTCAAGTAGTTCATGTTGTTCCTGTAGCTGTCTCCTATTTGATTTGAGTGCATGAAGTTCCCCTTGTAATTTTGCACCTTCTTTTTTCTCTTGCTTAAGCTGCTTTTTCAGTATTTCAATTTGTTGCTCCAACTCTTCTTTTTCAGTCCATATTTGTTGAATGAATGAATTTTTCTTTATGCAGGATTCTATAGCAGTCTGCATCATATCCCTTCGAGTATCTGCATTTTCAATCCAACAGTCGACTGCTTCTTTCAGCTGTTGGATTTTCTCATGGGTATGGGCTATTTCATGCTTGTAGTACTCTGGGATTGACCCCACTATGTCCACAAAAATGGCGTTGAAATCTTCTTCCTGGCTGTCAAGTTCTGGGTTCTGTTGCTGGACATTAACAGTGTCCTCCTCCGTCATTCAGTCTGCAGTAAGGTCAACTGCTTGTTCTTCAATTTCATCATCTGCTTCGCATTCCAATGATTGTGCTGGTGGTTCTTCAATTTCATCATCTGCTTTGCATCCCAATGATTGTGCATTGTTTTCATTTTGCTCCTGTTGTGGAGTTTTTGTCTGGGTTGCACTTTGGTCCACATTTTCATGGAAGCTGAAGTTCTATTTCTGGGTAATAACAGCCTATTTTTTTCCTTTTTGTGTTTGACTCTTTAACTGTCACAAATATTATAAAGGAAAAAAAAAAGTATTAGCAAATTTATATACATGTATATGTGTTTGTACACTATCAATTCAGTTTTGAAATATAAATGTTGGATCATTGTAGGTTATCTTACCCAATCTTTAAGTGTGATAACAAAGTCATCATCCTCTTCATTTTCTTCTTGTTCTTCATGGTCTGCATGATCAGTATTTGTTGCTTCTTCTCTTTCATTGTCAGCAGCTTTTATCTGTTGAATAATTAGAGTCAGTAATAATTATGGTGTACTAACATTATATATGTTTATGGAAGTAAGAAAAATGCCTTAATGTTTTCATATGTTGCAATATTCAGCTTGATATTGAGCTCCGGAAGGCTCCATTTGACAGCCGCTGGTTTGTGATCTTCTCTTCTAGGAATTGGACTGATCAGGTTAGTTCTTTCACACAGCCAATATTGCAAACATGTTTTTCAATATAAAGTATTAGTGCACATGAAAACAAATAATATAACAGGATTAACAAATGGATGTAGTTTCTTACCAGGATTAGCACAAGGCAACCACTGACGCTTGGTTGATTTGTCTTGTCCTTTTTATTTTTTATGGCTTGGTCCAGTCCATAATGCATGTAATCTAAGACTCCTTGTGCCCAGTTGTAGCTGTTCATAGCTTCTAATGTGTCGATCATAGTCAAAAAGGTCCAAGCCATTGTCGCCCCAGAGTTGCAAAAGAGATTTGTGATGAAGAGCTCTAGGATTAACAACCTGACAACATCCATTGCATTCTTCTTTCTATCATTTGCTATTACTGTGTTCAGACACCTATCAATCTCAGTTTTTGTGATTTTTTTTGACTTCTCAAAGTACTTTTTTCGAAGGCCAAATTTGTTCTTGTGGAAGTTGTTGTGTTTGGCAACTTGTTTCCTTTGTTTGGCAATCCAAAGATGTCAGACACATCATTGCTTGTAATTTCATGCTCGTTGCCTTCACTGAATTTGAATTTTTTGGCTGCGGGGTTGTAGAGTCTGATTAGTTTAATTATTTGATAATTAGACTTCTGGCATTCTACCTTGGTTAACTGACCTTCCATGTAAGCCTTGATGATGCTCCAGAATGGCGTTTTTTGTAGGATCTTGAGGACATCCTTTCTTGCTGCAAGCTTGTCTTTTACCGTTTGCAATGTGTTGTCAAATGTGAGCATGTTGCTCTTGATCTGCACATAATCTGGGTTATTGCGTCTGTTTGGTTGAGGTTTTTGTGTTTGGGATTGTGTTTTTTTTGTCTTCGTTGTTTTATTTGGTTTCAGTGTGTTTGCGGATTTGGGTGTGGATAGTTTGGCTTTTGCTGTTGTTGGTGTTGTGCCTTGTGTGTTTTTTTATGCTGTTTTGTGCTTTTGCTAGCTTGTGATCCTTTTGTATGCTTTTTTTTTTAATTTCAACCCGGTTACCTTTTTTCATATGACCACCTTCAAAGTGAAACAAATAGGTTACTTTAACTAAACAAAAGAAAGATGAAACATAAGTATTAATACTTCTATGACATGGTATTAACCATTTACTTCTATGCATTGGAACCTCATGCTTCTCTTTTCTAGTGCACTACGATTTTTTTTTCATATACATTTCTAGTGCATGTTGCACTAGAAGAGCAAGATGCATAGAAGTCCCAGATTTTGATTAACAACGGATGCTACATATTTTGGTATTCAAGTTTGCAATGCACTAGAAGAGCAAGATCCATGGTATTAACAGTTGTGACATGGTAATAACAGTTCAAGTTCTATGACATAATATGAACAGTTGTGAAACGTATACATTTGCAGTCAAAACATGCGTCTTTTCAAAACATTGCTATGGACTTTGAAGTTAAGAAATTTTGTAATACCTAGGAGTCTGATAGTGATGCTTTGTCAGCCATTTGTGAAGAATCTTGAGCGTTTGTTTCTGTCATTGTTGGACCTTTTCGTTGGTTACCTGTATTAAACGTGGTACTCTTGCATTAGTTAGCAGAATCTTAAGACGAAAGTGGAAAGTGAGTGTGGGTTTTTGAGATTGTACCTTTCTGTCGATGTTTATGGAAGAAATTTTCTTCCTTTTTTCCTGGTTGTCCTTGTGCTCAGTTGCTTTTTGTAGTGTCGATTTTGAAGACTTTTGGCTATGACAGAATATAACTTCGATTCGCCGGCTTTCTCGTTATGGAGTTTGTAGTTGAATGGTGGTTATGGAGGTTGCCTCCTGCGTGGTGGTTATGGAGGTTTTCGCCTGCTTTTGGAGTGGGTCGCGTCGCAAAGATCGGAGTGAGAGGTGAGTGGGTTTTTCGCTTTTTGGGTGCGTGCGTGTACTCTGCGTTGAGATATTTTCTTGTTTTTTCAATGGGCTTAGTGAAATTGGGCTTTATTGGCTTGTTGAGTTTTCTGGGCTCTTTTTTTGGTTTGTTTGGGCTTTTTTTTTGTCAAATTAGACTGGGCCTTTTTTCTGTATTTTTCTATGGCTTGCTTGATTTGTTTTGGGCTTTATTTCGTTTCTGACCTTGATTTTCTCAACTTGGGCTGGGCTTTTTGAAAGTCACTATTAATACGCATTTTGAACACTGTTAATTCACAGTTTGAAATATAGAAGAAGCTGCAGAGTAACAATTTTTTACATTTGAATCTCACTACACAGTAACTATTTGACATTTGAAAGTTAAGAAGCATCAAAAGATTTTGGTTAGAAGCTACATATTAACAATTTGACATTTGGAAGTTAGAAGCCGAACATTTACTATTTTATAGTTCTAAAATTTGTGAAATCCATGCTTTCATCCTTCATTCTCTTTTGTGAAATACCAACTTTTTTCACTTTCCATTGTCTTCAATAAAACTTCTTTTCTCATTTCTCACACATGCTTTGTACTCAAGCTTTCTTCAATTTGTTTTTCTTGTGACAACTTCTGCATGTAGTACATGACAAATACTCCACAATCGTTTCTGCAAATTCACACACACA